CTTCTCCACGATATTACTTTAATTTCTCTCATGCTGCTTTTGTTCCTCCTAATTAATTACACAATCCCTATTACACAAAGTTACTCGAGCCACATAATTCATATTCCAGGAAGAAAGTGGGGTGTTTTCTGCTATATATGCAAAGCTGAAGAGTTCTTTGACTGAAATTGATCTAGTTCTGTGTTCAAAGAAAAATTTTAGAAGACCATCAGTATTTCTAAGGAAGCTTCACTTTTTTTTCTTCTTCTTTTTTTTTTTTTGGTAAGTTTACTGTGAGTCAACTTTTCAGTCAGCATCTAGTCAGAAAGTAACTAGCACGCTGTCACGCTAAACCAGGTTGCGTACATAATTATTTGCTCAACTTCTATAAAATAGGAGTTGCAAAATAAAAATCACAGTACTTGCTTTGAAAACATATATATAGGGTAGGAACAGGCCTGTAGTGAAAACGGAACGTTCCATTCTCAAAAGTTTAATTCAAAACATGCCCTGAAGTCATCAGTTTGTCACAACAGGAAATAATACTCCAATTTCAGGTAACTTTAATTTTTTCTGCCTGTGAATAAAGCAGACTAATGAATCATAAAAGACCATACTGCTCTGCCAGTAACTGCACACACTAACACAAGCCCTGCAAATATCTAAGATGTTTCCAACGTGTCACACAGACCTTACTGGCGCTCATAAGCTCTTCCAGGACGTGTGATAGCATACTGCATTTCTCCAGGGCAATACAGAGCTGAGAATTCTTACAAACTGAACCACGGTGTATTGCAGCAAAACACGACGCCTGCACAGACAGAAGATAATTTCACCCATCATTAACCATATCTTTGTTCGCTTCACAATAGTGAGTTTTGGCATCTGTAGTTGCAACCATTAGAAAAGTCCCTCGTAGCTATAACCCAGTTGCTTGCGATGCAAAGAGACTGTTATCCCTGAAATCCCTAGCAATATACTTGGATGGTAGTTGCAGAAAGGATTCAGAAAAGCTCATGAATACGGTGAATACAGTCTTAGCTTTATGAGTATAACAGATGAAAATGTTTTGCTGCCCTAGATGACCACCAGTGACTCCAGAATTCTCACATTAATAACTGAAGTAAGATTATCTGAGTTCAGAAAATCTGCTTTCATAAATCCCCTGATACCCCAATACACAGTGGTGACAAACTAGGTTATTGTTACTCTCTGGAAACAGATTATCCCAAACCTGCTATAAGTCAATGGCTAACCAGTTTGGCACTGAGAGCTGTCCACTTCTGAGTGGCAACATGTGGGCTCACACCAGAAATAACAAGATATTTTCTAACATTTCCAAAGCTCATTGCAGCCTGGACACTGGACATGGCAGATTCTGTAGCCAATTCACACAACTGGAACTTGCCTATTTAAGAAAAATAATCCCAGGGTCAAAGGAGACAAGAAAAATTAAAGATACCATAATGTGCTCACATCTATAGCACATGTAGCAAATCTAATGAGTAACCATTTGCTACTAGCAGTACGTGATGTTTTGCGGATAGTGAAATACCACAGAACATTCTGTGCTGATGTATAACTGAGCTTCAAAGTTCCTGTTCTGCTTATTCTTTTGAACTCTTACAGTAAGAGAACTACTAATCTGTGTAGGGTATCTTGTGCCCAATTAATTTTATGATTTGTGCTAAGCAAGGGTTATTTGCCAAATAAAATATAAAATTAAATGTAACGTTCTGTTATATAGACAGCTTAGGAGTTTGGCCTCGTGCTGTCTTCTGAACATTAAGCAATAGACAGCTATGCACTATCAGGTTTCATTTTTACAAAAGATGAATTCCCAACAGTAACTTTCTGATGAGGACACTGTTTGCACTAACGACAAATCTTATTCACCAAAAACAATCCAGTGGTTCTTCAGCAAAACGAATATGAGGATGATGCAGAGCTTAGAACATCCCATTCTGCGACAGTGGCATGGTGGGAGGCTGGAAGACCAGGGATGAACACAGTTCTTGTATACTATTAAGCATTTACAAGATATACACTGCGTAAAGCGTGTATACTTGGGCCCAAACAGAATACTATCCAATATCCCGGCCCAGCACTGAGTCACAGATGCACACAGCGCTCCCCACACTGTTTTGTTTAGTAACGATCTGACCGGCTGTTCTGCCGGACCTGGATTTTGCTCCTTTCTAAGCCACCGGAACCCCTTCTGTGATCCTCTCCATGTTTTTCTGTTCACTGGTGATGAGCAATATACTAATACCACAGTAGTACTGTGATTCTCAAGACATGCACATACCAAAACTATAAGGCACAATAATACTTACTATTAAACTAATTCTGTATCCTGTTCAGCTCCTCTGTAGGTCTGCCTTGTCCCTGTGCCTTTGTCTCTTTTCGGTCTCTCTCCAGAGCTAGGGCAGTGCCCCTGCACTGTCTCTGTGTTTCAGCAAGGGGAAAGTAGAAGATTTGGAGAGAAGGTGGAGCCAATACCCCCTCTTTATTTTTTCCCCCGATACCTCACGCTGGCAGTACTCCTCCTTGCCTGGGCAAGCAGAGATGCCATATATATATAGGTCAGGGCATTCCAGGTGGGGGACAGATGAAAAAGGTGGTTCCAGTACCAGTATAAACAGAATAAAGTCACATCAGAAGAAGTCCTGCCTTACAGCAGGATTAAGCTAGTAGAAGAACTTTGTACCCACCCGTAATCTATAAATTCTTAGTTATCCCTTGCCCAAAACACTACTGCTTGAGTTGGTGATACCATATTTTTCAGCATGAGTATGAAGAAAGACTCAAGTGGTATCACCGTTGTTATTGCTCACACATCTCCCTTCCCTGCAGTAGTTCCCTAAATTCTGCACCTCTCTTTTGCATCTCTGATGATGGCAGCTACAGGGCACTTTGCGTGTGCATAGACTCCCGAGCAGGATGGCTAGCTTTCCAGGTCATGAAGTACCTGTAATGAAAGCAAGCTCATAAAATAAAAATCAAAAGAGACTTCCCACTACATCTCTACAACAAAGCTACAGATGATAAATAGGATGATATACCAACACTCTCATTTGTGAGCTTATGGATCTAGAGATCTAAGTGGAAAAATCAGCAGGGAAACCAAGATCGCGTAACAACTGTCTTCTCTCTTGAGGAAGGAAAAAAAAGGCAAAAAGGAAACTCTCAAACAATATACGTCCATAACGCTGGAGGGAAAGAAACGCTAACTTCTTTTTTTACCCATCTCTGGTTCTCTGATACTTCTCAGACCGAGTTTGATGACAAACTTTAAGACATACCATTACACAAAAAGGGCAGGCATTACAAACCAGTGCTCTCTGCAAAGTTTATTCTATAGTCCTGTAACAATACACTTATGAGAAAGCGCAGGATAGACCAACCAATTTATCCAATCAACTGAAATACCTGCTATCTAGCACACTAAATCTGCATCACCTCCCAGAAGAATATAATTGTCCCTAAAATAAGGTTAAGAGCTACAGAATTCTCTCCCCAAAAACTGTCACAGAACAGAACATAAACTATGGCTTGGACTTTGCCATTAACCGAGTCGGTTATTTCCCTCCCCAGAAGTTACCAATTCTCCCATGTGTGTTGCTAAAACAGCAGCAGCTGTTCTCCACATTCTCCATCAACACCACCCCATGACAGAGCTTCCTTTGAAATCTCCAGGGAAAACTCACTCCTGCTGACTACTAACACTGACAAACGTTGCTCAGTGAGGTGATTAAACTGTTAATAGGCAAAGCCACAACTCTATTTTTTATTTTCTAAAAACAAACCATGATTTAGAGCTTCATTAATAATTAGTTCCTCTGTAAATACAAAAAAGAAATACTATAAACTTGAATTCAACTGACTTGTGGATGTTTACCTGTTTTCTTCTATTTAGCATCCATCTGGCAACATGTATTGTGTGAAAGAAGTATGACAGAAACAGAAGGAATGGGAGAGAAAGATTAAAAAAAAAAGGAGGGGGGGAAGAGTGTAAAATTCTTACATGACTTTCCAAGCCAAAATTGAGCAGATCCTGAGGAATCCCTCCTCATCTATAAATTCACTGACAAAACACCAAGAAACCTCTTTCCCTCTTTCCCTTTGCCTTAAGGCTTCCCTTAAGATGCAGTAAACACAGTGGGCAACACCTACCTGGCCCAGGCTGCTAATGGTTAACTTGCATCAACTTCTGCTATGATATCTGTGGCTTCACTGCTAGACAGAAAACCCTGTTACAGACTCTGACAGCAGAACAGTCTGTAGAATAGGCTGTTCCAGATCTGATGCAAGATCCTTCCTTATCTTTCCCTCTCTGTAAACAATCTCTACAAGAGTGCTGTTTTGGAGGCAGTGCTGTCACTGTTGAAAGCACTGATGAAGCTCCACCTGGAAGGAGCATGAATGAGTGCAGTGATGAGGGCTGTGGTCCGCACCCTTTGCTTTGAGGCTGCTCAATAAGTTCTTGATGGTACAACCCAGTCTCTTGGGCAAGCCAACTCAAAACGGCACCTCACGGTGAGCATTCTTGAGTCTGCAGCTGAAATCATGATGCTTCAAGTATTCACTCTGGACATATATGTTCCTCTGGCCAGCTAGCTGCATGTTGAAGCATGTGCTCAGCTTGGCAGAGCAATCTACAGCTAGCACAAGTTCTGCTTATGCTAGCAGCAATTTAAAAGAAAGATGCCAGAAGAGTAGCTATAAAAATCTAGGGCAGAAAACATGAAGGACCACAGGATCACACACAGGAGCCAGGTTGAAACTCACCTGGCAATGACACCACCACCACAGAACAAGCACGCTCCCACCCAGCCCTTCTACAGCATTAGCACTATTACGCTTCGTAAATAGCGACAGAGCCCAGAGGCGCACCTGACCCAAAGCCATAACCAAACCAAACGGTTTTAACACTTCCCCACGTTCAAGGCCGGTCAGATACCCCCAGCTGGCTGCAGTCTGCGGCCTGCGCACGTCCTAACGCCGCCAGGGCTTCGTACCTGTTGAATCTCCTCGGGCAGGGCGTGGACAGGGACGTGCCGCTCCATGGCCCCCGCACGCCGCAGCAGGCCCACGGCAGCTCCGCGGGTCACACGGCCAGGGAGGAGACACCGGTAGGACGAGGTGGGGACGGGGGGAGGAGGGGGGACCGACACCTTTCCTCTCCTACTTCAGCCCTGCTGGAGCGCTCCTAGCTTTGCGCACCTGCGGCTTGAAGGGGG